CCCCCTGAAAAAAGAGGTAAAGAACATAAACAACAAAAAAAAGGAAGAAAGTAGAAAGGGGGGTGGAAGGAGGCCGATGGGAAAGGGATTTTGGCTTGGGGGTTTTGGAACGCCGGGGGGGGGGGGAAAGGGGGGGGGGGAGGGGAGGGAGGGGAGGGGAGGCCGGGGGCCCACAGTGGCACCCCTTCTTGGCCCATGCTTGTGCGGGTCCGACCCCGTGAGCTGGACGCGGGTAGGGGACTCACAAATGCCCGAGGGGCGCGGGAGGCGGCAGGAGCAGAGCTCAGGAGCCTTTGTGCCTTGACAAGTGCCAGTTTATTTGTTGTCTGTTCATGGTGCACAGGGCCTGGTGCCCCCTCCCCAGGGTGAGCTTTGCTGGTGGGCAGGCGGTGGTGACGCTTGCCTCTCCCTTCCCTTCCCCGACTGCAGGGCCCCTCTCCTCGCTGTGACCCGAGCCTCTCCCCCACCCTTCTCTGCTTGGGCGGCCCCTGTTTCCCCAGGAATCCCCTCTGCAGCAGCCGTCCTCACTCCTGCCACCGGGGGTGGGGTTCTGGTCCCAGCAGGACTGGAAGGCTGCCTTCGAAGGCTGGGAGGCTGTGTGGATGGGCGGTGGGCAGTGCCCTGTGCAGTCCCGAGGCTGGCAGTGCAGGGCAGCCTGCTGGGTTTGGTCAGGGTCTGCAGGACCTTTCTCTTCAGATGCCTGGGTGAGCTGCATCTGAGGGCTCTTTGAGGCCACGCCCTGTGCCTAGGAAAGGGGCTGCTGGGCACAGTGAGTCGGGGGGAGCGGGTGCCGGCGGCGCGGCTTGGTCCTCACTCCCGGGGCCAGGTCTCTAGTCTCCGCAGCGCTGGGAGCGGCACGTGCAGCTGCTGAATACCTGTAGCGTCAGCGTCAGCCGCCGTCCCCTCACCCTGGGGTCTGGGCAGGGCAGCACGAGCTGCTTCTCATGGGAGCCGAGGGGGTGGCAGCAGCTACACTTGGTGTCCACTTGCATGGTGTCAGTGTTGAAGCTGCGGAGGAGCGGCGGCGGGGAGCGCAGGTCAGGACGGCGGCCTCGGGAGTGCTCCTGCCCCTCCCCGGTCGCTCGGAGAGGAGGACCAGGGCCCCAGGCTGCGCCTTCGCGGAGGGGCTGGCCTTGCATCGCTGGCCTCCCCGGCTCCCGGCAGATGTGGTGGAGGTGGGTGCGGGCCGGGGCCACCCGATGGGGCAGCACGCTGCCTGGGCCGGGACCTCGCGGTGGACCTTCCCCAGCTTCCACTGGGAGCGCCTCTGTCGAGCAGGGCGGGTTCCAAGTCCGGGACCTGGACAAGGGCCGCACGGGGCCGACAGCTCACCTGGCCGAGGAGGCGCATACGCCCTCGCAGCGGGTCACCGTCACATTGGCCGTGCACCCCTGGTAAGTGACCTCTTCCTCAAACTCCCTCACGCTGCAGGTCCCTGGGAGCCGAGAGTCAGGCATCAGATGGTGGCCCTGTGGCGGGGCTGGAGGACAGGTGTGGCCTCTGGGGGCTCCGCACCTGGCCTGCTTAAGGGCAGGAACTGACATACGTGGCTCTGGGCCTCGGGTTTTAACCCCCTTTTCCTGTGGCATGGTGGATAGTGCCGGCGCCGCCAAGGGAAGGCTGCCAGCTGCCTGACAGCTTAGATCTGGGTGCGGCTGTGTGGGCGCCGCCAGCACGTTAGTGCCCACGGTGGCATCTTCCCTGGGCCCCCACCCTGCACTCGAGCCCCTGCCCCAGGCCATCTCCCCTTGTCCGAGCCCCACTGAGCTCAGACCTCATGGCTTTGCATGGGAACAAAGCCTGATAGCAAGTCTCTCACTGTGTGTTTTCTTCCTGAAAGTTGGCTACACTGGGAGTCCCCAAGGGTCAAGGGTTTTCTCAGAGGACGAGGCAGATTCCCAGCACTGGCCCCAGCCTCCCTCTCCACCTCCCCTCCTGGCCTGACACCAACCTGCAGGCAGAGGTGTTTCTGGTCTGCTGGGCTCAGTACCTGCGGTAGCGATGGGGTATGATATCAGCATCCCCTGAGGAGACGTTTGGTATCACAAGAGCTCCCTGCAGGGGTGTGGACCTGGCTGTGAGCTCTGTCCTGCATCTGTCCCAGTGGACAGACTGTAGTGGGTGCCCTGACAGCTGGCAGAGCAGTGTTGCCGTTAGAAGCTGCCAGTGTGGGACTTGAGTGAAAAAGCAAAGGCTGGACAGTCTCTCCTGCCTTCCCACCTGCCCCCTTCCAAGGTCTCCCTGTGGCCTCGAGCCCTGCCTGCCCTGCTTTTCCACTGGAGGTGGGACAAGAGGCCTGGCGGGCACGGGGGTCTTCCCTGTGGCGCCCACTGTCCCCAGCCCTCCTCCCCTCCTGCTCTCCTGCTCCCTCGCCCCACGCCCTGGGTCGCCTCTTCCTGGGCAGCCTCCACCCAGTCCTTGTCCCACAAGAGGAAACACTTTTTTTTTCAATACCGTCCTGCAGTGGTGGACAGCCCTGCTGGGGGAAGGCTGGGGGTGTGAGAGGGGGCGGCTGCCGGGCAGGGGAGGGGGTGTCCTTGGAGGACGGGGGTGCTTAGGCAGGCCTGGAGAGGGAAGGTAGAGCAGAGCTGGAGGCGCCTGCAGCACTGAGACCTGGGTGGGCGCCAACCCTGGAGTGCAGGCGCCCCGGCCGCTAGTCCCAGCTCGGGCCCCGACGATCACCTGGGGTGAGGCGCGTGCCTGCTTTCTGCAACTGGGGGGAGGGTTGCGAGAGTTGAAACTCCAGGTCCTTCTGAGCTCTGCAGAGGGTTGCCGTGGAAGGCTGCTGAGGGGGGTCACCTCAAAGGGAGGCCAGGACTGCAGCAGGGACGTGGAGGGGCGGGGGGCTGAGGGAGGCAGGTGCAGGACAGTCAGGCCCTGACGTGGGGAAGGGGGCGACCTGGGAGAGGCCAGGTGCCCATTTAGGCCAGACTGGAATTCACTGGAGCTGTGCCCTGAGAAGAGGGGAGAAAGGATCTGGGACCTGGCCAAGAAAGGCCGAGGAGAGGCCCCGAGAACATGTAAGCAACATACAGCAGAGGACAGGCTGGAGAGGGGGTTGGGGGAGATGTGACTTGGCCACTGCCTGCTGGTGGGGGCCCTGTCCTTCTAGACACCCCCAGGACACAGCTGAAGCACCAAAGCTCAGAGGCCTGGAATGGCACTCCAGGGCTGGTCAGAGGCCAAGCTGCAGCTCCCCCAGCTGTGCCCACCCCCGAGTCCGCTCAGTGCCCTGCGCTGCCTGGCCGTCCCCAGGCAAGGGAAGTGAAGGCTTTAGGGGGAGGGAAGGAGACACACCTGCTGCAAGGGCTGGGCCAGCCTCTGTGGGTGTGTGCAGGTCATGATGGGGCGCAGCAGAGGTGGGAGCAGAGGCCGAGAGGCAGTGCCCATAGGGTCATCAGGAAATGTGAGGGGACAAGAAAAGGCGGAGATCCCATGGGAGTGGCCCAGAGTATTGTCCAGAGCGGAGAGACAAGGCTGAGAAGAAGCGTGCACCACAGGTCATGAGGTGGCTGCAGAGATGTCACTCACCTGGAGAGCTGGGTAGAGATGTGACGAGAGAGGAGATGGACTGGCCCCTGGTGGAAGAGGACCCGGCAGTGGGAAAGGAGGAGCTTCCATGCGCAGTGATGGAGCCGGTCAGGAATACGCTGGCCGGCAGCCCGGTGGTACTTGGCTGTCTGGTGGTGAGGTTGGTGGCTGGGGAACTTGGGATGGCTGTCACTCCCAGGGTGGAAGACAGGAGGCCCTGCGTGGGGCCTCGGGTCGTGAGAGAGGTGGACTTTGAGGTAGTGGACCGAGAGGACAGAGCTGAGGAGGTGGGCTTGCTGGGTGTGGTCTGGGATGTAGACAGGACCACGGTACTGGGAGTGGGGAGAGGGGACAGCGTGGGAGAGGATGGGGGTGAGAGGGAGGGCCTGACGGACACGATGGTGGCTGGGGAAAAGCGGCTGGCAGACAGGGGGGCTGTATGTGATATGGTCACGGGTGCAGAGGGGGAAGGGCTGTGCGGAGCTGAACTAGCGGTTGGGATGCTCTGTGAAGTGGAAACTGCTGAAGGTGATGGGGAATATGATATAAAAGGAGGAGTGGTGTGTGAGGACACGTGAGAAGGAAGAGAGGAAGTAGCGGGCAGGGAGGAGAGAGTGGAGGTGCTGGATGAAGACGAGGGGTAATGTGGAAGGTTCGACACAGAAACAGAAGTGGTGAAAGGAGTTTGGCTTGGGTTTAGAGATGGAGAAGATAATGTAGAACTAAAGCTAGAGCTTTGTGGTAGTACTGTGCTGACTGAGTTCTGGGCTCGGGTGGTACCTGTTGTGGTCTTTGTCAGTGGTGGGGCTGTGGGTGTGGTGGTCCCTCTCTTTGTCAGTGGCGGGGGTGTGGGGGTGGTGGTGCCTGTTGTTGTCGGTGGTAGTGGTGGGGTTGTGGATGTGGAGGTCCCTGTTGTGGTCTTTATCAGTGGCGGGGCTGTGGGTGTGATGG